CGGCTCTAGCGCCAGGCTCGCTGCGGCGCTGGTGAGGCCACCAGCCGTCCTCCCCGTGCTCAGCCACGCTTCCCGCTGCTGCGGTTCGGACACGCCGTGGTGAAGGAGAGCCCTGCCTCGAACGCCCTGCGCTGTGTGGGTGCCACTGGGAAGCTGTGGGGTCACCTCCCGCAGTCACGGGTCAAAGCAGCAAACGCAGGAATTTACCTGAATGTTGGATTTTGAGCCAAGACTGACTTACCGCACTGACATTGAAAAAGAAGCTCAAACTGCCCTCTTGATGCTTGCAGATGGAGAAGTTTGGGGCTGCCGTGGACTCTCTCAGCAGGACCTGGAGCGACCGGAACCCCGAGATGGCCTATGAGAGAGCTTTTCTCTCCATTGCCGTGAAATTGTTAATGCACGTCACTAAGAAAGTCCCAGCTATCGTGCAGCGCAACCAACTCGTACAAGCGATCAATGGGAATTCTCGAGTGAGAAGCTACATCGAGTCCTGCGGCGGATGGGTAAGGATGCGAGGGAGGCGGTGGCGTTGCCTGGACGTCTGTGGCTTGTCGTGCCGCTCGCCTCCCCCGCCTGCCTTGCTCGGCTCCCCCCCACGCCCAGTGCCTCCCCCAGACGTGCCCAGCAGCCAGCTGGGCTGCAGCCGTGGGAGCGTGGCTTTGCCAAATACCTGGGCGAAGTCTTACCGATGCCAGTATCAAACTTCCCATCTGCTTCTCTGTCTCAGGGTTTAATTCCTTATCTTGGTACCTCGGAGCTCAGCTGGCTCCCTTAGATGAGAATCAAAATAACGAAGGATGGGTCATGCAAACAGCGCCATCCCGCTCACGCAGCTTTACAGACCCCGCGTGGTGCGTGTCGCCAGGGGAAGGGATGAAACCAGCCCGGGAGAGGGTTGCAGCAGGAGGGAGGCAGGTCACCCGTCCCTCTGTCCCACACCTTGCTCGTCCTGCCAGTGCCTTTAAACCTGCCTTGAGTTCTTTTTTTAAAGCCCATACACAGGGTGGGTTCTGTTTGTTTTCAGGAGAACCTGGACAACTGAGAGAAAGGGCCATGCTGCTTTCCAGAAGGCGAAGCTGGGCTGTTCATGGATTGTACCGGGAGGAACGCTGTTGTGTTTCTTCAGGACACTGCAAGCAGGATTCGACACATAAGCAACGTGTAACAGACATTCTGTATCACTAAAAATAAAGGGTTTTAAGTGTTTTTGTCATTAATTTGTTTTTCTCCTTGTGTTTCTCTTAAATTTAGCCATAAAAGTGGTTACTCAAGGTTTCTAGGTCAGTGCTTAGGGCTGCAGTGTTCATTTTCAGACTTGGGTGAGTATTTGTTATAAAACACATTGCCATTAGTTATTCTAAAGCTCTCTCTGTTCCTCTTGGGGGCTTCAAAGGCTTATTTTTGCAAAATTGAAGTTTAATGTTATTTTAAACAAAGAGTGATGGCTCTTCTGGAGTGACCAGCAGTCCTTCGCCTTTTATCAGCTGGATACAGAAATCTTGTAGATATTCTGTACCTGATCTGCAAGAAAACACAGGAGGGGAATACATCTAATGGCTGTATTTACAATCAGAAAGAGAAAGAGCCTTGGTGCAGCCCGTCTGAAGTCTTTGTGCAAAATGTAAGATATTGGAAAGGTCAAGGTTGTGACTCTCATGCCCTTTTTGGGGGGGGTGGAGGGGTGGGGGTGGAGTGGGGTTGTTTTTTGTTTGGTTTCACTTAGTTTAGTTTTCACCACTTCTGCAAGCAGAGAGCATGGATGCCCTTCGAGACCTTTGCTGTCTGCATTGCCTTCCCGCTTCAGAATGACCTCCCCTTCATCCCATGGGCTTTTAGAGAACCTGTGTTACTGAGAGCGAGTGAGGTGGATAAGGCTGGCACAATTAATTGGATTTCCGTAGCCTACTGGAGTCAGATTTGACCCTCTCTTCTAACCCAGGCTACCAGGCATGGGGATTGTGGCTGAAGGAGTTGGCCTGAAGCATCTGGTTAGCGGTGTCCCTGCTCCCCACAGGGGGGCTGGGCTGGGTGACCTCTAGGGGTCCCTTCCAACCCAAAGCATGCTGTGATTCTATGATTCTATGTCATAGGCTTTCTCTGTTCAGCAGCAGTTGTGCTGTTCAGGGGAGGTGTGAGCCGCCGTGCACGCCAGCCTCAGGCGCTCAGCATCTGCAGGTAGTGTTCTGTCGGAGTGTTTTGCTGTTAATGTGGAAAACGGGCGAAGCTGTAAGCGTGAAGAGCAACTGTGGATTTTGCATGCTGTTTTAGGGACTCTCCTAGCTGCAGCACATTCCAAGTCTGAAGCCATCCTCCAGCAGCCCGGCAGTGAATTGCAGCCACCCGTGGGCACACGTGCTCCGCCGCTGCTCGCCACGCTTGCCCTCTGGACCGCGGCCCAAAAAGAGGCACCCGGGGCAGCTCTGCTCCTGCCACCGGGCTCCCGCCCAGCTCAGCGCTGCCGGCCCTTGCTCTGGGGCGCAGGCAAAGTGCGTGTGGTTTTAAAGGGAGGCGATAGGGCCCCAGGTTATGTGTTTTGTTTTGTTATTTGACCACGGTATCTGTTACGTACTAATTTCCTTTAAGACTTGTGATGAAGTCAGTAAACCACAGCCCGCTGCAAGCGCTCTCCGGGCTGGTGCTTTCCGCTGCGGCACGCACTTGACATGTCCGTTCCCAGGTTGGGCAGGCCAGTCACGCTTGGGCTCCGGCAGCATGGACCAAAGGGAGATTCTGCTGCAAAACCTGGAACGGGCCCAAGGCAAGAAGCTCAACCGAGAAGAGTTCGTAGAGGAGTTTTTGGTAAGTTCGCTTAAGCCACGGCTCTGTGCTTCAGTCGGTTTTAAAGGGAACCGCTCGGTTGCTTCTCATATGGGGATGTGATTTGCATGTGACAACAAAATTTTCTATGAATTTTACAGCAGAAAGAGACGCAGGAGTTAACGGGGGTAAAGGGAATGTAAAGACAGAAGAGTAATTTAATAGTTTCCTTTCAAAGTAAAACTCTTTTCTTTTTAAATAATTACCCGAGTGCTTCCTGTTTTTTACTTTGCGAATGCGCTTGTCACGGCACAGTTTCACTTTGCCTGGTAACGCGGCGGGGGGCATGGTGAGGAACTCGCAGCCACTGCCCCTTCTCCCCATCACGATCCGCTCTGTCTGTGATACACGTGCTCCTGCCAGGGACCTCCCGGTGCTGCTTGAGATCATTTTTCCTTTTTTCATTCCAACAGAACCCCCTCGCCCTGCCCCTGTACCACCTGCGGAGCAGGGGGTGGGTGTTCGGATAAATGCCCGGTGGACCCAAGACTGTTCCGCCCCCCATCGACACCGGGCACCTTGGCCAAGGCGCGAGGTGGCGTTGATCCGAGCGGCCGGCCCGGCCTTTTGTCCAGCCGCCAGCGCCGCGCTGTCAGGTGGAAGCGCTCGTGCGTCCATGCGCAATGGGCGCCTGTGCTCTATGTCCAGCAGGGCCTCTGGCCCCTCCTGGAAATCAATTTCTTGCTCCCTAAAGGCAAAACTAGCAAAGCATGCTGATGGCTCTCGCCTTCCCCAGCGTCCTGCAGTGTCTAGCTGGTTGTGATCCGTGCAGTGCCCCGATCCGTGAGCTCTGGCACCTCGTTATCTGTTGGGGCGGCGGTGGTGAGTCTAGGACGGCAATCCGCTGTCTCATGGGGGGAGCTGGCAACGGCTGCTGGTCTATCAGGCGGAGGAAGGTTGCTCTGGCGGGCTGCCTGAGGAGCAAAGGCAGAGGGAAGGGCAGAACTGGTACATCTGTAAGATCTGAGGTGTCTCGAACACCAGAATGGCCGCTGGCCCCGAGCTCCCCCACCCTGGCCAAGGGTTGCACCAGGCAGTGGTCTCTGGGGAAGGTGCAGGGTTACTTAGGAGTCCCCGCGCGATCCAGCCCTGCTCCGGCGTACCGGTGAAGACTGACACTTCAAACACTTGGGAAAAGCTTAGTGCTTGGTTTCCAGGCGTCTGGGTTGGAGGGAAGTGATTAATCTGAGCCTGCAGCGACAGTCTGTTGTTCCATGGAACAAAGTGCTGTCACTAGCTGCTGAATTTCCCCCTCTCGCTGCTGCGCTGGGGTTGTGCTGGGCCATGCGAGGCGGTGGGGCTGCGGAGCCTCTGTGTGCCAGTTCCAGCAGCCAAACGTGCAGCTCATTTTCTGACCGAAATGGCAGGTAGGAGTGCTCAGGACTGCGCTCCCCCCTGCTCCAGGCAGAGACCTTCCTGGGGTGGCCTGAGCTGTTGGCCAGAAGCCTTAACTGGCATCTGTGATGGCTTGCGTTTCCAAACTTGGTAGAAATGTCCGATGCCATTTCTCCATCCTAACATCTCTCTGTGTGCGAACAAGCTTGTGTACGCGCCGGCTGGGCTGGTGTTATGGGAAATGACGGGGTTTTGTTCGAGCCCCCTTTTTCTGTGTGTGCAGCCTCACAGCAAGAATGTGACCCTTGCTGCTCTCCCTGCTTTCCCGTCCGTAGCCTTTTCCCGGGAAGTTCTGTGCCAGTTTCTGCAGGGACAGAAAAGTTTGGAGGCTCAGAGCCTCAGCTGCAAGCAGACTGGCTTCAGTACTAAGCTGTGCCCCCTCCATGAAAGCTTCCTCTGGAAGTTGGGGTTGCGCTGGAAGGAGGCAGCTGGAGGATGCGACCAACACCAGAGGAGCTCAGGAGGTGATGGGGATGTGTAGGCTACAAAACCCATCCTGCTCCCACAGCTTCTACCACACCGTGCCTGTCCCCATGCTCCTGATTATTTAATAGCGACGGGACCCGTGGGCTGTCCTGGGCCTCCTGCGCCTCCTCCCTGACCCATTGCACCCAGGGCAGTGAGATGCGATTCCTGTGGTATTGTGGCTGGAGAGCAGCAGAATTTTGGGTTTAAAAATTGCAGATTCATGTTAAAAACCAGCAACTCTGGCTTGGACCTGAACATCTGTGCACAGAAGTAGCGTGGGGATGAGATGCACGTTGCTGTACGTACCTGTTATCTGTGGTATTGCCAAGGGGCTGCTTGGCCTGATCGAACGGGTACGAGCTTCAGAGCCCTCCGGCTCCTGATGTGGTCGTTTGGCAAATACCGTCACTCCGTAGCCGAGTGCACGCAGGCCCTGGAGGGTGTCACGTCCTAGCGGGTGCTCGCCTAGAGCGGGCCGGAGTCGAGGGGGTCTTGCAGCTCTCCCTCAGCTGTGAACACGTGGGGTCTGCAGCAAGGGAGGACAGGGGACAGGATTCTCAAAACTGGATGTGAGCTTTTGGGAGACCTGGAAGGCAGATGCATATGAGCTCCCGTGGGAAGGTCACTGGTGAGCTGACTCTCACGATTTATGGTGAGCACCCAAAAATCAGGGCCCTGAAACCGTCAGGACTCCCACGATTCCTGCTCGTGTGCCGTCGTGCCAGAGCTGCAGCCCCCGAGCCCTCCAGCGCGCCAGGGAGGGCTTTGTCGGTACCAGCAGGAGGGTCTGACACCCCCCCAGCGCCGCCCCGCTGACCGTGGCACTGGTTTGGTTCGGTGACCCCGGGACCGGCGGGCTGCTCTTCCCCGCACCGTGCGGCTGAGCCACTGCCCTTGCTCCCTGCCAGCAGCTCGGGTGGGTCACTGCGAGGTGTGCCCGGGGCGCGAGAGACCCCCAAGCCTTGCAGCTCCAGCATGCCCGGGGTCCCCGAGCCTTGCAGCTCCGGTGTGCCCAGGGTCCCCTCCCTTTGCTTTTCACCCCCCTCACACAGGCACGCGATACTGAGGGTCCTCCTGTCTCGGCCCGATTCTCTGCACCCCAGGGTGGTCTCCAGGAGAGGGGCTGTGAGGCTATGGCTCCAGGGTGGTGGGAAAGGGAGCCTTTCCCTTCAGAGCACCAAACCATAGAGATGCTGATTAGAGAAATGGCCTTTTGTTTTAAATTAAAAGCACCCCTTGGTGGCAAGAAAAGTGGTTATGTAGACCAAAATCATGAAAGAAAAAATACAGCAAGAACGGTGCTTTCAAAGCTGATGGTAATAAACAGTGTGTGTTCTCCAGAAGCTGATGTCAGTGAAATAAAATTCTGTGCTTTGGCAGGAAAAAGATGCTTGAACACTCCAGGAGTGCTGCAGCTTTATCCTGGAAATGAAAGATGAGCGATTCGTACCCCTCAGGGTCTATCCTAGCACTCCTCCTCCTTTCCCCTTCATCAGTGCTTGTGGCTACTTTGCT